TACAAGTTGCTGTTCGAACTAGACCATTGAATCAACGAGAAGTAAAAATTTTATTAATTTAACTAAGTTTTATTTTATTATTGATTAGATTGATCTGAAATCTCCAACTATTGTGACGATACAAAATTCACAAGTTTTCGTGGAGAAACCTCAAGACAAGTATAGATTTTTCTTTATTTGTTCAATATAATCTATCGTTTTTTATTAGACATCATACGCCAAAAACATTTTCATATGATTTTTGTTTTAATTCAATACATTCAGATAGCTCAAATTATGCCAGTATGTTATTTTATTTTATTAAGTTTTAACACATTTTCTTAAACTATAGGTCAAGAAATGATATTTGAAAAACTTGGTGTAGAAATTGTTAAACATGCATTTGAAGGATATAATGCTTGCATATTTGCATATGGTCAAACAGGTTTGATTGAGAACAGGAAACTGTTGAATATTTAAAAAAAATATGTGTTTGATTGATTAGGTTCAGGCAAGTCATACACTATGATGGGTTCACATAATGATCGAGGAATAATACCACGTTTATGTCAATTAATGTTCGATCAAATAGAAAATAAAATAAAAGAAGAAATCAATCAAGATATAAATATTGAATCAATTAATAATGAAAAAATTAATGATATCTTATCATTAAAATTTTCATCCTCTTATCGTGTAGAAGTTTCATATTTTGAAATTTATAATGAAAAAGTACGAGATCTACTTAATCCAAATAAGTAAGTTAGATTTAATGTTATTCATTATTATTTTTAAATGTATTTGATATATAGTAATCATCATGCATTAAAAGTACGAGAGAATAAAATTCTTGGACCCTACGTTGATGGACTTTCACAACTTGTTGTTACATCATATCAGGTAAAATTTGAATAGATAAAGAATTCTATCATAATATTATAATGATTGAATAACACAAAATCAAGTGAATGAAGAAGCCATCTAAACAGATTAACTAGTTTTGAAACCATACATTGAATCTAAGAGAAGACTCATAGACTAGAGTAGCTTCTTCTCGATTATCAGCAGATAAAATCTTGACTTGTGAATTATAGAGATGAACTAAAAATTGAAAACTTCAAGAGTTATAAATATATATTTTTGTAGGAAATTGAAACTCTATTAATCGAAGGTAATAATTATCGAACAGTAGCATCAACAAATATGAATAATGAAAGTTCAAGATCACATGCTGTATTTACTCTGAAATTAACTCAAACATTATCAACTGACGCATCTGAAGTAAAAAACTAAATCTAATCTTCTGATAAAATGAATGAATTATTTATTTATTTTAGACTCAAAGTGTCAAAGTAAGCAAAATAAGTCTAGTTGATTTAGCTGGATCTGAACGTGCATCGAAAAGTGGTGTTCAAGTAGAACAAGCTCGTTTTCGAGAAGGATGCAATATAAACAAGTATAAAAACTTAATTAAACTATTTTCTTTTAAAAACTTAACTTATTTCCAGATCTCTTTCAACACTCGGTCTTGTAATCTCAGCGTTAGCTACACGTCAATCGAATGAAAATAGTTTAAAATCAACAAAAAAGACATTTGTTCCATATCGAGATTCAGTATTAACTTGGTTATTAAAAGTAAATTCAATATTATTCTATCATTAAAAAATATTTATGTTATTTTTTTTTTCAGGATAGTTTAGGTGGAAATTCTTTTACTATAATGTTAGCAACAATATCTCCAGCCTATGATAATTATGAAGAAACAATTTCAACATTACGTTATGCTGATCAAGCAAAGAAAATTGTTAATCATGCTGTTATTAATGAAGATGAACCCGGAACAATAATTCGAGAGCTAAGAGATGAAATTGATAAATTACGAAAAGAATTAGCGGATGCTAAAGCAGAAAAATCAGCTGAAAAACTTAATGCTGAAATAAAAGAAAATGAAAAATTAATGCAAACAATATCCAAAGATTGGCAAGAACGTATTGCTGAAACAGATAAAATAAGCAAAGTAATAAAAATATAAAAACAAAACTCTTATGATAAGAAAATTAAATATTTATTTTTCTTAGGAACGTCATGAATTACTTGAAAAAAGTGGTATTTCTGTTTGTAGTTCTGGTATTGGTTTAGAAAAAGATCGATTATATCTAGTCAATTTAAATCCTGATCCAGCATTAAATGAATTATTAGTTTATTATTTAAAAGTAATTATTTTGGAATTTTGAGAAAAGAATAATTTTTTTTTGTTTTTAGACAAAAACAAGAATTGGTAGACCAGATGCACCGATTAAACAAGATATTGAACTAATCGGAGTTGGTATTTCACCAGAACATTGTATTATTGAAATGAAAAATCAAAACCAAATATTTTTAATACCTTTAAATAAACAGAAGTTAGAACAAAGATTTTAAAACTAACAGAAAATAAAATGTCGTTTTTTAATAGAACATATGTCAACGGTCAATCAATTGATGATGAAACACAATTGAGACATGGTGACCGACTTCTACTTGGTTGTTCGCATTTCTTTCGTTTAAATTCACCCGGAGATAGAGGTAAGACTTGCTAATTATTTCATTAATATGTAAGAGCCTTTTTTTAAATATCCGTATTAAAAAAAATGACATGGATTATTCAGTTTAAATGTTCTAATCTTTAATCAGATAAAAATGTAATTTATATTAACAACAAAGGACTTTTTTACTCGAAATTTTTCTTTTCGTTTCGACTTAAAAGTACACGATAAAAAACAAGGCATTTTTATGGCTTGTAAAACATGGTATGCTGCATGTTCTAATAAGATATTTTGTTTTTTTCCTTGATGATACATTACACGATGAAAAGATAAGATAAGACAAAATAATTCCTTTTTCCAGGGTCGAAAATCTGACTCATCGGAATTTTGTCCAGTTCGTAAATAAAAAAAATCACGTTAGAATCAGTCACATGACTTTATGGAAATTATAACTTTACACATTGTGTTTTATGTCATACTTTGTTTGTTGGATAACTTATTAGATAAGAAGAAAGAAAAAGATACTTTTTTTGTCGGTGTTATCTATTTGTTTTAATAACATTCGCTAGATTTTAAGTAGTTATTTGTATGGCTGTTTTTTTCTCTCACACATACCTTGAATTTATTTCAAATTGTTTCGCATATATTCCGATTCAATCGACTCGGCATAGTTTCTTTTTCCAACATTTTTTAAATGATTAGTTTAAAATACAATAGTGTACAAGGTAATTCGAGATTACATTATTATAAAATAATTAATTAATAACAATGATGGCGTGAGAACAGGCGCATAAAAACGTCTTGACATTTACAATTGTTATGTAAATAGATGCAACTGAACTCATTCGTTTCAATGACAAGAAAAAAAACGAGTACGATAGTATTAACCGATGGAGTGCTGTTCAGAAAAATACTCGCTACTACTTAACATAAAACGCTAACCTACCAATCGATTCATTTGAGCGTTGTAGACATTAACTATAGAAATGAATAAGCTTCTATTTGCATTCGCTAAATACACGTGAATAAGAATGAATAATCAATCATCCACATCATTTGAATATTAAACTAAACCAATCGGTTATTTAACTTATAATAAATCGTTCTATTTCATAGCTTCAACAAATAATAATAACAATACGGTTATATCATCAATCATGAATACTTCATCACATTTAACATTTATTGATGCTCAGAATGAATTTTTACTCAATCAATTAGCTACGGATCCAATGACAAAAGATTTAAGATTATTTTTAAAACAAGATGACAATAATCAAGAAACAAATCGTAAATAAATATTCTTTATTCTATTTCAAATTTCTAATTTGATATTTTTATTTTAGGAATTATTGCAAATAAAACTTCCGATGTTTACGAAAGAGAAATTGAGTATCTTAAAACACAATTAATGCGTAGTGATAGTCGTTCAACAACAATAAATTCTAAAAATCGTGCTTTTGAAGATTCACTTTCGAAATGGCGTTTTTCAAATAAACTTCTCACTGAGTATTTTATAGAGAAAAACAAAATCAATTTTATTCTTCATATTTCTATTAGATCTGAAGAAAGTCGAGCATATTTTCATCGTCTTAAACAAGAATTAATACGTGTTAATGCTCTTGTATCTGAAGCAAATACAATTGCAAGTGAAATGCAACGACAAACAACATACAGTGCAATGTTACAAATCCCCGTTTCATATTTAAAACCAAGTCAACGTGTATGTAGAGAAAAAAAACAACATAATTTAAATATCGGCCTTTGCTTTTTTTCTTGTACAGGCTACAACAAATCTATGTGAACCAGCTGTTCAAGTTAAAAGACGAAATCTCTCGCCACAAATATGGAATATTGAAAAATTTGAATCGAAATTAAATGATATGAGAGATGTTTATTATGAATGGCAAATGTCAGAAAATAAAGTATAGATTTATTTTTCTGTAAAATAATTTTCTATGAATAATATTTTTAGTCATTATTAATCATACAACAACAAAAACGAAATGATCCATTTTTTGATGTTGAAGAATATAATAGTTTAATTGGTGTTGCAAATATTTTTTTAAAAGCTTTATTTTATGATTCAAAACTCGATTATCTTGTACCGATTATAAATACACAGGGAGAGGTAATACAATAGATTATTAAAGCTACTAGACAGTTGATGTAGATTTAGCTCATAAATCAATTATATGATTCTACGAATGTTTTTACTTAAGTAAACATGTTTGTCCGGAGATAATCAAGTTTTAAAGAATTCCGAACTCTGATAATTCTGTTAGTTTGTAAATTCGATTATGTTTATAGTAATCATAAAATTAAACATATGGTATTGAATAAAATGAATTTATTTTATAATAGATATCTGGTTCACTGCATGTTGTTCTTGTACAAGTGGGTACATCTTCAATGAAAAAATTAAGTGATTTTCAACCAAATAATAAACCACGTGCTAGTATTAGTGAAGGTATAAGTATTGAAACTGAGGAACGTAGTTTAAGTGAACATAGTAACAGTCAAAATAGTTTGGATGATGAAAGTAATGATGATATAATTGGAACGTCGAATGATAAAACTAATCAAATTACAGTTAGAGTATGTATTTAATTTATTTAAAATAAATTCTATTGATGATTTGTTTAGTTTGCTATAAAAGAAGTTCGAGATTTACCTCAATGTGATGGTGATAGAGTCATGTGTCGATATACATTTATAAATCAGAAAGAAGATCAAAAAATTCTATCAATACAACCAACATCAAATGATGATGATACTGAAGAACAAGTTGGTAAAAAACCACGTACATTTTCATTTAATCATGAAAAAGTAAATGATTATTCAATAAATTTTTGAATTTTAAATTCTTTTATTCATTCAAAGGAATATACATTTACAATGACTGATAATTTTATCGCAACATGTCTTGAAAGTGCTGTATCAATTGAAGTTTGGTATCATTATAGTACAATACCATTATCAATAAATACAAATGCGAATAATGAACGTACCCGACGTGATGCAGAAATTCGAGCTTTAAGTAATCGATGGAAAGAAGTTAAACGACATATACAATATGCTGTTGAAATTCATGAATTGGATGCTTCGGGACGATGGGAACCAGTTGAAGTTGATGCTCAACAACCGCAAATTATTAGTGGAGGAGTTTATCGATTACGACAAGTAAATTAAACTAAATAAATATTCGTATTATTTATATATGTTTATAAATAGGGTCAATCAAAACGTTTAGTAGCACGATTACGTGTTATACCTCAATCAGGTACAATGCCGCTTGTTCTTCATGCTATACGATCTGTTGAAATTGGTTCAATAAATACAAGAAAAATAAATGCACCAAAACAATTAGATTCATATCAAGATGAAGAATTACAACGTTTACGACGTGAATGGCTTGATTTAATTGAAAAACGTAAAGTTTATCTTGAATCTGAAATTAAAATGTTAAGTCAACAAACAAGTAACTATTTCAAAAAACAAATATAATATATAAAAATTTTATTCTTAGATAAAACACCAAATGATCTTGAAAGAGAAACAGCTTTACTTGAACAACTTGTTCGTTTAGCTGAAGAAAGAAATTTTTCAGAATTGCCACCACCTGGAAGTGGAATACCTGGTAGATAATATTCTACAAAAAACTATTAAATTTTAATATACATCTATCTAATAGGTTCACCACCATGTTGGACACCACCAGCTACAATTGAAGAACATCGTCCACTGATATTTCTTGATTTAGATCCTGTTAATATGAATACAGATAATGATACAGCTGGTCTTAAAGCAACATTGAATGAAGAAAATAAAAATGATATGTTTAGATTACCATTACTTCATCATGCATCGGATGAGGTTGGACAAAAAAAATAAATTATTTTTTTTTAACTATCTAATTTTTTTCAAAGGTTCGTGCTGTTGCTCAATGGGATCCATCAATACATGAAGCACATGAAATGTAAGGAATTATTTTGTGTTTAAGAAAAAGAATAAACGAATTTTTCTAGGAATCGTGTTACACCAAATAATACAATTATTTATATGATTGTTAAAATAATTGTATTAATATCTCAACCTGTTCGAATGGAACTTGTCTTACGTAAACGTATTGCAACAACTATTGGAAAAACTGAAGGATGGTGGTCAGGCAAAGCAATGAAATATCTACTTGGTTATGTAAGAAAAATATTTTTTTTTGTAAATTAAAAATATTTATTGTTATATTTAGAAACCATATAAACGAACAAGTGTTGTTTATGAAATTGTTTCAAGTATCCCAAAATATATTCATGAAATAGAAGATAGAAAAAGTCTTGCATTAGTTGCCGGATCAGAATGTCATACACAAAATTATATAGAAAAATATATTCAATATGCATCCGCTGTTGATTCTCTTCTTTTACTCGATCAACTCAGACAAGTACGAAGAATTTTTATTAAATAAAAATAACCATTGTTTATTCTTCTCCTATTAGGAAGTGTCATTAACCGAAAATTCTTCAAAACAACAAACGATTCGAAAAGCAACAAGTGTACCTAATATTGCTAATCAACAAGGAAATACTGTAAGTTAATATATTTGAATTCATAATTTATGAGAGAAAATGTTCTTTTGTTTATAGACTCTATCAATTGCACCAGTTAATTCTCGTCGAGAAATTGATGATGAACAACAATCTCCATTAAAAAAATCTCCTTCAATTCAAGGTGAATCTTCAACTCGTTCAAATCCATTTTTTGATGATAAAAATACTGCTAAATCATCTTTTCTCTATCCACATACTCATAATGATTCAACGCCAACACAAATTAAAACAATTAATACACCATTTTCAGCATTTAGTCGATCAGATCTTAATGTATCAACTCCAATGTCAACGCGTATTGAAAATATAAAACTGAATGAAACTCCACATTCTTATTTTGAATCAACTACACCAAGTATGTTATCACGTTCATTATTTATTGAACAAGAACAATTAGAACCCGTTAAAACATCAACTATTCGAATACGAAATGCATTTGATATTGATGATCATGAAAATCAAACGAATAAAAAAGAAGATGATGATCAAGCATTATCTATAAGTACACTTGAAGAAAAATATTCTGTACCAGTAACTTCACGACCTATTCAACCATCAACTACTGAACAATCAAGTCAACCGTCAACTACTGAACAACCTATTCAACTATCAACTACTGAACAACCAATTCTATCATCAACTACTGAACAACCCACAATAAAAGTTGTTGATATTAATGATGAAGAATATCCAATTGATTCACGAGTTATTGTTAATACTGATCATCATATATTCAATAAATTAGGTACAGTTCGTTTTGTTGGAAAAACAAGTATTAAAGAAGGTATTTGGTATGGTATTGAACTTGAAGAAGCAGTTGGTAAATAAAAATTTCAAATCTATAGATAAAAATTCTATATGAATTTCTTTTTTACACTAGGCAAACATGATGGTTCAATTAAGGGACATGTGTATTTTCGATGTCCAGATAAACATGGTATTTTTGTTCGTCGTGATAAAATTCGACGAAAGACTTGAAAAATAATTTCAATTAATTTTTTTTGATGTTGTTATTTTCTTCTTCTTCTTTTTTGTTTGTTATTTATTATTGGAAACGATCTCTAGTCGTTCTATACACGAATATTTTTCTTTTTTTTTGTTTCTAAAATATTTATTTCATGATTTACATTTCATTAATTATCACTGGATTATATTTACATATATAACACTACTCTCCTTTGTCAGATTATCATCATTTTTACACACGCATGGCCATTATTATTATTATTATTATTCTTATTTTGGTTGTTGTATTGATTGTTTCATCAATATATATATAAGCTGGTGTATCCTATATAAATGTAATTTGATTTCTTCTCGTTTTCTCTTTCTCCTTCATTTAGTTTTCGGTGATATCTGTTGACTTCCACCCACATATGTATATATAGGCGCATATCTTTTCTCTATTTCTTGTAATGTGAATGTATCTAATATGATTTTCTTTTCTTTTCTTTTCTTTTTGCATATTTATTATAAAGAAAAAACATTTTGATATTCAAATAAATATTCTGATGATTATAGAATCTAACTATGTGTATACATGTTCCGGTCAAGGATAATGTAATGTAACTATCTATATTTGATGCGACTGTCTAGCACGGATATTTATAGTATATATTTGCTTAAAAATATCTATTTCTTTGTCAATGAAATTTCTGTTGGCGAGAGAGGTTACATATATGGATATATATCGATGAACTGGAAATAGAACTATCGTTTCTTTGTTTCTTCTCTCCTACGATCTATCAATCGGAGTGTTGAAAGAGAGAGGCAGTATAATATTATAGCATGAATTCACACAGACATACATGTCAATCAGTGGTGAATGAAGCAGTAAATTAGATAATAGATTATTACAAAATACCTGCTTATTCTATTTATTATTCATATCTTCGATTTCCTGAGTTCTTTAT